GTACATATGTTGCCATCAACATTTTCTACTTGTGCCCTTGATATCAGCTCACCACCCCCCCTTCCTCCCTCATAATCCCTTGATTGTTTATTTATTTATTTTCATGTCTTACACCTACCATTGTCTCCCTTCACCCACTTTTCTGTTGTCCGTCCCCTGGGGGAGGGGGTGTTATATGTGATCAGTTCCTCCTTTCTCCTCCTTACCCTTACCCTCCTGGTATCCCTACTCTCATTATTGGTCCTGAGTGGTTTATCTGCCCTGGATTCCCTGTGTTTCCAGCTCTAATCTGTACCAGTGTACATGCTCTGCTGTAGCCGGATTTGTAAGGTAGAATTGGGATCATGGTAGTGGGGGCGGGGGGGCAAGAATTAAAGAACTAGAGGGAAGTTGTATGTTTTATTGGTGCTATACTGCACCCTAACTGGATCGTCTCTTCCTTATGAAACTTGTCTACAGATGGGCTTTGGATCATCACTCTGCCCTCACCCTCATTCACATCGATATGATTTTTTGTTCTGGGTCTTTGATGCCTGATATCTGATCCCTTTGACGCCTCATGATCACACAGGCTAGTGTGCTTCTTCCATGTGGGGTTTGTTGCCTCTCAGCTAGCTGGCTGCTTGTTTATCTTCAGGTCACAAAACTCTTAAATGGCTAATACTAATCAAACATGACACCTAATATGTTTAATTCATTTCCAGAATTACGCAAATAAGTATGAAGAAAGATACACTGCAAAATTAGCATGTCTTTCTACAGTGTTTCACAATGCTGATATTCTTTTGTAGCATTGCTAGGTTACTTGATAAATGTTACAGAAAATATCATAGGACAGTATGTGGCAGTGGTTCTCAACCTGTGGGTCGCAACCCCTTTGGGGATGGAACGACCCTTTCACAGGGGTCGCCCAATTCATAACAGTAGCAAAATTGCAGTTAATGAAGTACTAACGAAAATAATTTTATGGTTGGGAGTCACCACAACATGAGGAACTGTATTACAGGGTTGCAACAGTAGGAAGGCTGATTTGCCAAGTTGAGTTCTAGAGACAATATATTCTGTAATTGAAAATGAAAAAGAGACCTCGGATTTTTGGCAAAAGGAGTAAAATTCTAAATTATTCTTCCTAGAAGATGATTAACTAAAAAGAAATTAGGAGAAAGAAAATGAAAAGTTTTCTCTAAGTTTTAAATATACTGTCAGTGGTAGATATGGTATAGGTTAAAAAAACTTTAAGGCAAATGAAATGGAAGTTAAATAGAAGTGAAAGTAGAATTGTTTCCTGTAGTATAAAGTTGGGGGGGGGGACAGCCCCCCGCTGCTACTACTACTACCCACGGGTTCAGTAATGCACAATTGTACAGTTGAGATATATAAATATTATATTAAAGTTATAGAGAGCATGAGAGATAGAAGAGGTATTACAATAGTGCAGTCAGACACAATTCATGGTAGCATTGCGCACCTCAGCCCCGCTTGGTGGTCCACGTGGAGAGAGGGGGAAGGGAAGGAGGACGGGAAAGGGAACAAGGGAGAGAGGCCAGGAGAGGAGAGAAGGAAGAGAGGCGATTGGGATCAGTGAGAGAGATCTCTATTGCTGACCCAGGCCTATATACCTTTGGGGCGTGCAAGCCCATTAATTACAGGTAAAGACATACATCACAGGAAGGGGTTGCACTATAGTTATACAGAAATGAGGGGGTGGTCTAGGGACATACATGCAATAGAAAGAGGAGGGATTGGGGGTATACAGGTGGGCGGATCCTAGATTTAGGATGGCAGCTTAACCTTGACCTGTTCTCTGGGTCTCCATAGGAACCATTATCAGTAGGGAATAAAACCCACCTACAGGAACCAAGTAAGTGACTGCAGACCTGTCCATTGTCTTTAACACCAGGGAGCGGGGCCCACTGCAGTCTGGCAACTGATGGGCCTGGGGGGGGGGGGGGGATGCCTGCGCATCTGACCTCCCCTCCAACCCCCCCAGTTTCCCTTATGCAACCTGGCCCTTTCTGCTTCAATCACCTTTTACCTACACCCCAATATATATACACACATAGTGTACACTTTTGAACCAGAAGTTCACTTGACGTAGATAGGAATAATGAAATGTTTAAGAGGCACAGCTAGTACAGACATAATAGAACATTTATAAGATATAACTATAAAACTAAAAACCAAATAAATGCAGTGCCATCAGCTGCCATACGACAGAGTAGAACTGCCCTGTGGGTTTCTGAGACTGTGGTTTTACTGGAGTAAACGACCTCCCAACTGTAAAACAAGGTGAGGCAACAAAACAATGGAAGGAAGCTGATTTTTCCCCCTTCCTTTAAGGAAAGCATAAAAAGATATTTATGAAAGAAAGTGAAAATACCTGTGTAAGGGATCATTGGATTCCTAAATACACTCAAGTACTAACTGCAAGGTTGATCGTTTGAGTCCATGTAGAGGCACTTCCAAAGAAAGGCCTGACACACATGGATTGCCAGGAGTTGCAGTTAGCCTGGCAGTAACTGGCACTAGAAGGAACATATGGTATATGTTTTAAACCGTTTCATTGGCATTTCATCCACGTATCATACAATTCAATGCCATATAAAACCATGTAAAAGCCTTGTACAATCAATTTGATTTTTTTTAAATTTTAATATCTAAGATGTAATTGAATTTAGAGAAGACCAGTGCAGATGATCAATACAATAGTTTCTGGAATTCCTAATTTTCAACACTAATTTTACTTTAGGTATAAGGACCTAACTGAATACAAATCTTAACTAGAGAAAAAAAAAATCATTTAAAATGTAGAGAAAAATGAGTTTTCTTGTTAGAAGACAAAGCCTAAATAGAAGTAATATCGTTTTGTTAACATATGGTTTAACATTAGATAATAAATTCACTTCATGTTCCAATAATTAGAAATATTCCTGTTCTAAAACATCATTGTCTATTGCGTGACAGATTCTACTACCTAAGAGTTTCTTTTCCCTTCATTTGCCATTAAGGTTTTATCATCAAAATCCAAAGAGAAACTTGGTATTAGTAGTCACCATTTCAGTAAGTTGTGACTAGCTATTACCTGAGCCATTTTGGCTTAGTTTGGTGTCCATGAACATGGCAAAATTAACTAGAGAAAAAGACCTGGCAAGGAAAAAGCAGAAAATATTGAAAACTAGAAAATCCAAAGTGGGTCAAGACGGAGATTAAGTGACCAGGTACCACATTAAAACCTAATTCCATCTGCCATCGTCAATTTTACAATAGTCTGTTGGATAGCAACATTATTGAAGTCTCTCCACCAGACACAATCTATGTTGGGACCCTGCAGATGGATTTTGGGCTCCCACTGTCATCCTTAGCTTTTTGCAAATACCTTTCCTTCAGATTTGGATTTTGTTCTTTCTCATCCTTGGATCACACAGGCTGGTGTGTTCCTTCCATGTGGGTTTAGTTGATATGTATCACTTGCTTGACTGCTTATCTTATAAATTATTAAATCATTCCTTCTGTCCTTTGGAAGAGAAGCTTGTAGACTTTACCAACTGATAAAATTTAAACTTCATCTCATTAGTCTTCATAAAACTATACATGCAAAAAATAGTTATATAAAACAACAAAAATCAGATATTTTTATTTGAATAGAATAGAATGTCACTGTACACAGAAAGCCTTTATCGAAGAGTTGTCTTATCACATCTGTTTCATGGAAATTAGGAAATGAAAGCAGTGTCTAGACAGAGATCCAAACACCACCACAAAAAATATTATTATTGGAACTGAAATGGATTTATTATCTAACATCAAACTAAATGTCAAATCAGATTCATATTATAAATATTTCATCAGTGGAAGGAAAAGCTAGTTGATTGTTCTATTTTTGAGTTCTCATATTTTGTTTGAAACTAATTAGTAAAAATGGAAGAAATTCTTTTTATAATCTTTCAGTTAAAACTGAATTTTAGCTTTCAAGAATGTACTATCCTTTAGGGGAAAAAAAAGAATTATTTGCCTAGTAACTGTTTTTGTCCAAAGTTACTATATAAATGAAATCTACTACAGAATTTTCAGCACCACTAAAGCATTTTTGCTACTGAGATCTTAAACGAATGTGTGATAAATCAATTTGAAGGAACCAGAAAAAATAATTTGGTAGCATAGATGCTTCAGGAGAGATGGCTTTACTTAGAAGAATCTTTTCATTTGGATGTGGCATATCCCATTGGTAGAATGAGCTGGGATATAGCCCGTGTAAAACAGCCAGAGGTGGGGTGTTCATGTTTATGTCTGCATTAAGGATCAGCTTAAGAATGCAACAGTACCACATACTTAATCATGTGTGTGACTTAGTTTGATGAAACTTTAGCTTCATTTATATTTCCTGTGCAGTGATACATTTACTGGTGTTTAGGGAATTTGCTTAGTAAAGTTATTTTTAAGAGGTGAGTTTGTTTTTAGCAATACACATGTTATCCAAAATTATTCAGAAACATCACAATATGTAAGAATTTTTGAAAGTCTTAGCAATCCTGGACAATGTATGAATTCCTGTCTCATCTGTACATTCACATCCAACTACCACCACCACCCACTTTTTTGGTTTTTAATTAGTTTGGGTGAAAGTATACAAAGCAAATTAATTTTCCACGTAACAATTTACTCATCTCATTTAATAGCATTGGCTGCAGTCCTCTCAGTGTAACAGCACGCTTCCCACTTCCTTCCTGGTTGCCCGTTCCCATTTGTTCTTTTTTCCTGCGCCTTGCCTTCTGGTCTTTGTTTGGGGCTCATGCCCCTTTGGTCTCATGGTTGATTCCTCCCTGGTGTTAGTATTTACATTCTGGGCCTGCCTGTTGTTTGACTGAAAGTTGATCCCTAGGGATAGGTTCATGTTTGAAAGTTGTCTAAGGGCCACCATCCCAGAGATTCCATTACTTTCTATGAGACCAGTAAATCTGGTCTTTATGTTTTTGAACACCCCCCACCCCCCCTGCTCTTTCCAAAACCTTATATTGCTATCCTGATTGATGCATTCTGGAGTGGTAGCCAGGCACCATCTAGTTCTTCCGGTCGGTTTCTCCTTTTAAAATCCAGTCTTCTGCTTTTCCTAGGACAGAATGCTTTTGTCTTATTTTCCTGAAAACTGCAAAGCCTCGTGCCGAAATATCTCACTTTGTATTTGTCTTTTACAACTCTAGCAGCATAGGAACTTGGGTACTTGCTTACACTTCAAGGTTGTAAACTTCTTGGAGGCAAGAACTGTCTTTTTGTACCTGCATGCTCTAAATTCTTGACATCATCCCTTGAACCTAATTGGTAATCAGTATTCTCTAGTAGGTAACTTTTTTTTTAATGTATTGCAGATAACCCAGAAGATAACAACAAGATACCTACAACAAGAGGATCCTGCAAGATTTACCCTAGACTGTCGAACTGAAAGACTATGTTTTTGAACCACCGTTTTTAAAGACATTGAAAATACAGAGAAAACAATTTGTTCTCCTATGCCAGACATATAGATAAAGGGTGCTTCTGATGCAGCTGAGAAAAATGCAGACCATCAAAAAGGAGCAGGCCTCACTTGAAACGACTAGTAATGTGGACAAGATGATGGTCCTTAATTCTGCTTTAACTGAGGTATCCGAAGACTTGACAACGGGCGAGGACCTCCTCCTCAATGAAGGAAACGTGGGGAAAAACAAATCCTCCGCCTGTCGGAGAAAGCGGGAATTCATTCCTGATGAGAAGAAAGATGCCATGTACTGGGAAAAAAGGCGGAAAAATAATGAAGCTGCCAAAAGGTCTCGTGAGAAACGTCGACTGAATGACCTGGTTTTAGAGAACAAATTAATTGCGCTAGGAGAAGAAAATGCCACTTTAAAAGCTGAACTACTTTCACTGAAATTGAAGTTTGGTTTAATTAGTTCCACAGCATATGCTCAAGAGATCCAGAAACTCAGTAACTCTGCAACTGTGTATTTTCAAGACTATCCAACTTCCAAATCGAATATCAGCTCATTTGTGGATGAGCACGAACCCTCAGTGGTCACAAGTAGCTGTATTTCTGTCATTAAGCACTCTCCACAGAGCTCTCTGTCTGACATTTCAGAGGTGTCGTCAGTCGAACATACTCAGGAAAGTCCTGTTCAGAATAGCTGCCAAAGCCCTGAAAACAAATTCCAAATCATAAAACAAGAGCCAATGGAACTGGAGAACTATACAAGAGAGCCAAGAGATGACAGAGGCCCCTATACAACATCTATCTATCAAAACTACTTAGGAAATTCTTTTTCTGGCTACTCACACTCTCCACCTCTGTTACAGGTCAATTGCTCCTCCAGTAACTCTCCACGAACATCAGAGATGGATGACGGTGTGGTAGGAAAGTCATCTGATGGAGAAGATGAGCAACAGGTTCCCAAGGGCCCAATCCACTCGCCTGCTGAACTTAAACATGGACAATCAACCGTGGTGAAGGATCCAGAAGTGAATTCCTCTGCGTTGCCACATAAGCTTCGGATCAAAGCCAAAGCCATGCAGATAAAAGTAGAAGCATTGGATAATGAATTTGATGCCACACAAAAATTGTCCTCGGCTCTTGACATGACATCAAAAAGACCGTTTGAACCTGAAAAGCATAATGCTCCAAACATGGTACACCCTTCTCTCACTCCCTTCTCAGTGCAAGTGACTAACATCCAAGATTGGTCTCTTAAATCAGAACACTGGCATCAAAAAGAACTTAGTGGCAAGACCCAGAATAGTTTCAAATCTGAAGTGGTTGAAATTAAAAACAGTGTCTACAAAGTTTCTGACCCAGAGAATTTGTATTTGAAGCAGGGGATTGCAAACTTATCTGCAGAGGTTGCCTCACTTAAGAGATTTATAACTACACAACAGATCTCTGCTTCAGATTCTGGGTAAACTACTACTGAATGGTATCTGACTGTTCAGGAAGATGTCATTTGCAATAGATGAGTATGTTTTGTATTATGCTGAATTTTCACTGGACCTGTGGTGTCATTTCACTGTAATGTTCACATGTTGTCTGTTTGTTACCTTTTGGTGCCCAAATTATTATGAAGATTAGATTGTGTTATCACTATGCCTTGTGTATAGTCAAATAGTCCACACAAAAGCTGTACATATTAAACATTATTTTTGTTGTTCTACTATAAAATGTGCAAGTTACCAGTTTCAATAAAGGATTGGTGACAAAACAGATCTTTGCCCAATTTCACTTGATGTTAAGAAAAAGCAATGTTGTTATCAAAACAGGTATCAGAATAGTCTACATTTTATTTTTGAGAATTTTCTCTCGTTAACATGGGGAAATTGAAGCAGAAATTCAGCAAGTAATTAGAATCTAACTCAGTTGTACTTAACAACATCATTTTTGCTTGTTTTAAATATTCTAAAGAAAGAAAAAATATAGCAGTGACTTTTCATACACCTGATGATAATTTATTACTTTTCTCTCCATTGTATAGTTATATTTTAAAACACATTTTCTATACACTTTTTTAAGTGGAATAATCCAAATTGATCTGAAGACAGCATTGCTTTATTCAGCTCTTTTTTGATCATCATGCATGGTTTTAGATAATGGAGTCACTGATCTACTTTATTAGATTCGAGGTGGTTTTCAAAGAATGGGTAAAGATTAAGTATATAGACCTTTTTATGTCATTGTAAATCTGAACAGTTCTGTAGAATAACAGAGAGTGAAGCTAGTGAAATACTGTTTATTGAATTTCCAAAATGCCAAAGATATATTAATTACTGCCATATGACTAGTTCAGTCTTGATAGATGCAATGGCTTATATTTGTAATATTGAATGATAAATATAAGTCATCACACTGTAACTAATGCTATAGTGGTACATTAGTTAAGTGCTTGGCTGCAACCTGAAAAGTCAGTAGATTGGACTCACCAGTCAATTTGCAGGAGAAAAGACCTGACTATCTGTGCCCATAAGACTAGAGTAGGAAACCCCTTTGTCATAAAGCAGCGGTTCTCAACCTGTGGATCATGACCCCTTTGGGGGGGTCGAACGATCTTTTCACCGGGGTCGCCTGATTCATAACAATAGCAAACTTACAGTTGTCAAGCAGCAGTGAAAATAATTTTACGGTTGGGGGTCACCACAACATGAGGAACTGTATTAAAGAATCATGGCATTAGGAAGGTTGAGAACCACTGTCATAAAGGGTCATTAGGAGTTGAGGTCAACTCAGCAGTACGCACCAATAACAATATATCTTTAAATATTAGTTTGGAAACTATAGCATTAATGTTGCTAGCTGCTGTCCCGTCAG